GCATTACTTTCAAGTGTGCAATAAACAGATCCTCCACGTAAGGTATAAGTGCAGAACTAAAAAGGATTGAAGTACTGGAAGGAGTAAAGAATTACAGGAACAAAATTCACTACCATATCCTATTAGCTAAATTCCCTAGACAGCAGAGAATGGAAGAAGTAGCATACAGTGGAGTACAGGAAAAAAGAGAGGATGTAAATCAGCATAAAATACTGAAGAGCAAGATGTGACCAAATACACTGCTTTAAAGGCAATAAACTCTAAACACCCATCCTTCCTCTACTTGCTATGCCAGAAAGACAAATACACTGATATTTTTCAGACAAGTAGTTTTCTTGCTTGAAAAAAGTGACCTCATAAAAAAAATTATAAAGGTATAAACAATCCTTCCAAGCTGCCTAACATAAGCTTATGTTTCCTGTGACTGAAGGACAACAGAATAGCAGCACAGCATCAGTACAGCAGCACAAGTTTTACCACTGTTCTCTCTCACAGAAAATATCTCAGCACCTCCTTTTGCTTCTCTGCTGAAGACATGAATCAGCTAGAATAAAAATATCACTGCCAACTTTTACTTTAAACCATACTGAGAGACAAAAAGGACACTCCTTATGCTGGACCTATCTTTCAAGACTCTTTCTCGCATGTAACTTCAGTTTCTTTCTTACCTTACTGCTAGGTACTGCACCCTAGATTCTTCAGAGTAAAGGACTCATTTTTTAATTTGTAAAATACATTTATTGATAAAGAAGCAATGTAAATATGGATAATGGGCAGCATGGTAAGGAAAGATCTCACTGGGTTAGCCATAACCTATTCATTTACTTCTAATTCATGCCTTGACAGGTCTTGGCTTAATGTGTGCTTAACAATACACCTGTCAAAGTTTTTGTTCCTACTATCAAGCTTTTGTTTGCCTTAGGTCTTGCTGACCTTAGCTCAGAATAGGAATTGTACCTGTACTTGGATGACTAGTTCTTAAACAGTCTCTTCTATATTAATAACACAAACCAATAGATCCTTCATATGTATCCACCTTTTTTGTTTACCGTAACACTTCACTGCTACCAGAAAGACAGACCTCACCTTTCTTGAGGCTTGAGATGCTGATGCCTTCTGGAAGAACACAGTGAGCATTCTGTTTTCACAGCACAAACTTAAAACCTAAACACCTTTTCAAAACCTTTGGGAAGCCCTGTAACAATGTTTAATTCCTTACCCCACCCCTCTTACTTGAATTACCAAGAAAAACTGCATGGAAAAAAATACTCATCATTCACTTTTCAACCCTATCCACTGCTTCCTCACTTAACTGTGGTCATTAATCACCATTCTTGTTTTGAAATTATTACTCAGAGTAGACGACTTTGATTTTATACACAGCTGGCGATGACTTCATGCTATGAACAGACTCTAAGAACCAGGGATGAACAGCCAGAAGTTTAATTTTCATGCAAATACCCTCAGGAACCCATGCAAAGGAAAGACACAGCACATCACGTGTGTTCTGTATCCCTTACAAAGAGGTCTCTACAGGGAATGCTTGCAACCAAGGAGAAGGTTGGAGACTTCCTCTGTTGCTCCCAGGAGTGTAGATTATACATTTTCCTTTCACCAAAAAGCAACCAAAAACCATCCTCTTGTTTCATCAAACAGTGAAGTCCTCTTCTAACATTTCTACCAGAATTTTTTTTTCATACAAGGAAAAGAAATATGCATGCATGACCTCTCTGTACTCCAAATATATAGCAGCTTCAGGCACTTCACTCCCAGGTGTATTCCTTACAAGTAGTTAGAGTATGTTTTCTTCTCCTCTCAGTTAAAGTGCGACTGGGATTTCATGTTGGCAAATGGCAATTTAACAGTCATCCCCAGGGATTTTTCCTAACCCCACTGTTAGGGGAAACTCTCTCCTCTCTGTCCATGTGAATATAGTCCAGAGAAGGCATTCCCTACCATTATAAAAAGGACACGCTCCAGTCCTTGACTCACTGTAGGAGGGGCGACACAGCTACTTCAGGACAGTAGTACTTGCCCCAGCCAGCCGTGTCCAACAGGTTCAAACACTGGAGTAAGCAGAATCTTAAATGCCGACCTCTCAAACGCTGCTTATTACGCATGCTCCGTAACCACAACACAACTTCAAAGAAGGCAAACACTACTCAGAAGGACCCTACAGAGTCATAGCTGTAACTGAGGTGCAGTATTTGCTGCAGAAGTCAAGGAAAACCTAGTATGAAAGATGTAACAGACATGACACTGGCATTTGCTTCCAAGTGAGAGTGTACAACACTAAAGACCTCCAGCTTCATTGATCACAAGCTCAACTCAATATGGCTAAAAGAGACTAATGCTTTTGTCTCTCAAGAACAGTTTCTTCATGACTACATGCTTCCCCAGTTCATTAACTATCTGGCTTCTTTTGAGACTTAAAAGCAAAATAAAACCCCTTGGCTTTGCTTAGCCAAGGAGAAAGTGAAAAGAATAATGAAGCCCACAAGGGCTCCAAGTTCACCTCTTCAGCTTTCCAAGCTGGTAGATCAAAAAAAAAAAAACCCAAGTTTTTAGTATTAGCTCCTAGAAGATCTACAGTATCCTTCTTCATCCAACATTATCTTGCATGTTAAGAACACATATAAAAAAACAGTCCAAAACAGAAATCTTCTCAAGCAGGCCTGTGGCAGATCTGGGGTCTCTAAAAAATCAACTCACTCAATAGCCCACTCTGCTTTCAAGTAATAAGAAGTATCTGAGGCTGAAAAAGCCTTATCTTTATGTGCGTATCTTAATCACAGAAGTGATTAAGCATGCAATACTCTGAAGCAGTCACCAGATGTCACCAGATCTCCAGAGACTCAAGGAAATTCAGCAGGCCAACGCATACAAAGAGATAAGGCACGTATGTAGCCTACAGACACAGCTTCAGGTCGAAAGACAGACTAGAAAAAGCATCTCGGTGACTGAGACAACTTCCCACCAAACAGTGCACGCATTAGAGTTAAAGGACCTGCACTGGCCATCTATGCAATGCCTTCCAATCCTTTTCTCAGCTATGTGGCTACTATCTCTTATGTCTCACTTCCCACCTCAAGCCCTGTATCCTTGCACCTTAAACACCCACACAGGAACACCGCCTCTGGAAGCAATCACGAACCCTGGTTCCCAGTACTTCCACAGCTCTTGTGCAACCCAGATTCACTCACCACATTTAAGGCTGGGGGGAACTGAAACTCTTCGTCACTGCGTTCTTTTGCATACGCAAACTACTCAGTACCGGATGTTAATGCACCTTCTAATTTGGTCTTTCAAATTAAAACTTCCTTATTTCTTTTCTGGATTTGGGTTCCATCACTTACATTCTAAACTGTCACTGGCAAGATCCAGGTTCTGCCTTTTATACAAGGCAGGACTCCAGCAAAGCATATTCTGCCCACCCGTAATGACCTAGCCTGTGGCTGAGATGAACGCTGTGCCAGCACCAGTGACCTTAACAGTTCATTCTAAACTGGCAGTGAAAGTGTCAGGAATAAATCAGATACAGATTTCAATATCACTCTCTGTAAAGCTCAAAAAAATCCCAGCAGTATAACCAACACACACATTCTCTCCTTGGTCGAGAGGGACTGCAGTATCAGCCCCCAGAACATCCATGTTTGGCTTTCTCCAGTTTAGTGGCCTATCTTTCTGCCCCTTCTGCTGGAAACAGCGGTCAGTGCTGCACACATCTAGACCCCTAAGAAGCAGTACGTAATAAATATCTGTCCCAATGGGCTATCGTAGCATCCATGTTCCAAGTTCTAGTCATGCTCCAAGGTCTGCATCCAGTAGACACAAGAAAAAAAGAAAACCAACCAAACAAATAAGAGTTTCTGTCCAAAAAGTGATGTGATGTTACATCACCTCTGGAGATGCCTGCGGGGCAAAGTGGCTGCCTCATCTTCTCAGCGGCCATGTGTGAACCAGTGACACTCAAACCAGGTAGTGCCTAAACTCTCTGCTGTTTGAAGCCACATCATTTCTCCCAGTAGCACAGATGGCTAAACATCCCAACTCCTTCCTCTCTGTCATTGCAGGCACAAGCAAGCGCTGCAGCCAAGGTATGCATGCGCAGCAAGCCTCACATTTTCAAAAAGCATTGTCTCACCGAGTGTCCACTCACACAAGTTTGCTGACCCACACTGTTTCAAGTGAGAGGAGCTCAGCAGCAGGCTGCTCCAGACAACTTCCTTCCCAAGGGGCTTTCAGATACTAAGCACACTGCATGGTCTCCACAAAAAGAGTTAGCTAGAAGCCTGACTACAAAATGTACAAACGGTTTTTGGTAAATGTAGGCATGACAACTCTGATTTAAATCTTCACTTCCCTTTGAACAGAATAGAAAGAACAAAGAATGCAGGAGAAGAAAGAGAAGAAGACTGGGAGAAAAAGAAACAAAGCAAAAAGACATGGAAGGAATTTACAAAGTCCACTGATACAGAGGGATGTTGTCAACACAGGGCTCAAGGACCCACACTAGCTTCAGCTCACCCGCCCCACAAAACAAGAACAAAATCTGCTGTGTTAGAAACTCCCACAAGATAATTGATTTCAAGCAACTGCACCCATACACAGGTAGCTATGCCTCCGAGAGAGTAACACACAGATGTTGTTAAAAGCCTAAAGCCAAACTGGAGACTGCAGTCCATTATATATCTGAACATAACACAGCACCTCTCATCAACAAGTGGTACAGGGCAAGCTGGCATGCTTGGAGCTGTAGTATCTTCACAGTAGATGGGCCCACTGCAGTGAGCATTAGTAGTACATCTCTAAACCAGTTCCCACGCTATTTAGAAGACTGGGAATAATTAAAGTAAGGTTTGAAACAAGACAAGTAGTGAAAAATATACATGGAAGCATGAACGTCAGCAGGAACCTCGGGATACACAAAGCACACACTCTGCTAGGTAAAAACAAAAAAAAATAAGGCCTTTAAAAACAGTGGAAGAACAATAGCTTACCTTTCAAAAGGGGCTGGAAAGTTGGAATTTCCTGCAGTTTTATGACATCAGGATCATTGCTGACATTCCGGGAGGACTGTGTCCCTGGGGCTACCACCACAATGTCATCCATTTTTGCTCGCTGCTTGGCTGGTGATGGAGATGCTGGAAGGATACGTGAGGTAAAGGGAACAATCAAATCAAGAAGGAGATTCCATCAGAATTCAACCCTAGGCAACCGTCACTATATTTAACACAGCTCAGGTACATTTTTTATAGCATAAGCACATTACTGAGAGCACCGAAGTACCACAAGCTCCCTTACCCCCTTTAAGAACACATGATGTTCAGCACAGGTCTGTTAAGACCCGTGAAGGGCAAGCCATGACACACCTGCCCCACTGACACACTCCTTGGTACTCTCCCCCGAGCTCTGCACGCCGCTCCCCGTGTTCCACGCCCGCCACCAGGCACAGGGCCCTCAACCCGCCGCCTCTGCCTCCCCCGACCCAGGCGGTGCCGCCCGAAAAAGGCCCGGCGCTCTCCCTCTCTCCCGCCCTCCCTCCCAGAGGAAGGGCCGGGCCGCCGCCAGCTGCAGCCTCGCAAGGGAAGCAAAGCCGTTCCCTTCTCCACAGCAACCGCCTCCCCGCCGCCAGGCCCCTGCAGCGAAGCCGAGCTTCGCACCGCCACACCGCCGCACCCCCTTCCTCCGGGCCGCGGGCAGACAGCACGAACCCCGCTCCCCGCTCGCCTCGCCCCGAGCAACCACCTGAGGTGCTGGGCTCGCCCGCGCGGCTCTCGGCCTCCGCGCTGTGCTCCGCTCCCATTGCCGAGCCGCCGCCGCCTCCTCCCCGCCCTCCTGCAGCGCGGGGGGCAGCGGCACCCGCCCGGCTGCCACCGCCGCCCGCCACCGCCGCTCGCCGACGGGTCTTCCGGCTGCGCCGGCCGGCGGCTGCGCCCGGGTCACGGGCAGGCTCCGCCCGACGCGGCGGGCAGGCGGGGCTCTGCTACGACGCGGAGGCTGCAGCGAAGGAGAAGCGGCGGAGGGCGGCTCTCAGAGGGTGGGGGATTCTTGTCACTACCTCCCCGGGCCTGCGGGGGACCCGGCTCTCGGCTCGGGCCTCCTGCAAGCTGCCCTGCCGGAGCCGCGGGGAACGTGGCGGGGAGCGAACACGGCTCGGGGCAAAACATTGCTAATCTAATTTTTAATTACGGGTATAGTCATCAAAGGTCTGGACCACCTCTCCTATGGGGAAAGGCTGAGAGAGTGGGGGTTGTTCAGTCTGCAGAAGAGAAAGCTCCGGGGAGACCTCAGAGCAGCCTTTCAGTTCTTAAAAGGTGCCTGTAAGAAAGAAGGGAGATACTTTCTAGCATGGTCTGTTGCAGTAGGATGAGGGGCGATGCTTTTAAAGAGGGAGATTCAGGCTGGATGTGAGGAACAGATTCTTTACAAGGAGGGTGGTAAAACACTGTCACAAGTTGCTCAGAAAGGGTAGATGCACCATCCCGGGAGACATTAAAGGATGAGCAACCTGATCTAGTTGAAGATGCTCATTGCAGGGGGGTTGGGCTAGATGAGCTTTGATGGTCCTTTCCAGCCCTCTGATTCTGTATTAATTTTCCTGTTCTAAGTCAAACCCTGCAAACCCCAGCATGCGGGGTCTTCAGCTCATACTGCCTGATAAATGATCCTAAAAGTCTTTTCCAACCTAAACGATTCTGTAACTCTGTAAAGCAACCCCTGGTAGGTGGGCCATGCTGTTCTCCCATGGGTTGCTTGGTGGGCTCACAGACATTCCCCCCCCCAAACTGCAGCCCGTTGCCTGCAGCAGGGCCCCAGCAGAGTCCCATGCAGGAAACAGCCATCCCAACTGCCTTTATCCTTGTGCTGGGAAGCAGGTAAAGGAAAGATATGCTGAGATTTCAGACTGACTGTTTTCATATCTGACACATTGGAAAAGAAGCCACACAAATGTCTGTGACAGAAGAATTGCCTATAAATCATTGCACCATCATACAATCACAGACTGGTTTGGGTTGGAAGAGACCTTAAAGTTCACCTAGCCCAACCTCCCTGCCAGAGGCAGGGACACCTTCCATGACACCAGGTTCCTCCAAGCCCTGTCCAATGTGGCCTTGAACACTGCCAGGGGTGGGGCATCCATCAGAATGGAATACAAAATAAAATACAGAACAGTGCTTGTGTGTGCTAGCTGCTGACTGAATCTGTTCCCTGCTCATGCATGATGTCCAGCATCATCAAAAGCTCTGCACTGAACTCAGCGTCATTTCTCTTGGTTGCCTTTGCTGATTGCCACCACACTTGTATTAAACACAAAAATAATGCTACTATTTCTTGGGAACTGTGCCTCACAACTGTTACCGAGGTCAAGGCTGTGGGAAGGCAATCCCAGTCCAACACCACCTTTTGCTAGCTGTAGACAGTACTCTGCTTTTGTAACCTAATAATAATAGACCTTTCTTTCAACTACCTGAACAACTGCCTGATTCCTGCCAAAATAACAAGTAAATAGTATGAAAACAATATAATTTTTTGGGGGGGAAGAACCAACTACTGTTGGCACAAGTCAGTTTACAAACTCGAGTTCCTAATCTGCAACATGCACACACATAATTAAAGTCACACCCATGAGTAGTCTCAGTGGCTTGTATGGGAGGACTGGCAGTGTTTAAACATAAATGCAGCCTTTACAGCTGAAGTGCATGACATCTGTAGGGCTACAGCCTAACCAGTGCCTGCCATAAGGTAATTTGACATTATCTAACTCAGACAAATGTTTAAATTAACTGCTTTGCATCAGCAAGTTTACCTTCAATTCACATCCCTTTTGCTCCTGTGTAATGGACAACTCACTCCTCTCTGAAGTGTTTCCATATATTATTTTGAAAGTGTGAATTTGCTGTACATCACCACCCCAAGGAGTTTTAATTTATCTGTCAACCAACGCGTGTCTATCACATGGAATTTTACCACATGGAAACCATTTTTAAAATAAAGGTATATATTAGTGTGTTAGATGTGTAAATGACTTCTTTATTTTGTTTCTGATGTGGATACAATGCAAGTCTTCTGTGGCATCCTGTATCAAGTGCCTAACTGAATGTACCTGAAACAGTGCACAGCTATATCTATATTAGAATATACATCTGATGTTTTACCTATATTACCATAACCCAAGTAACTTAAGGACTTTGGCAAATATTTTATACCATTTCTTATCTGTTTAATTTTTCCTTTATGACTTACTCAGTATATTCAATATACTCAGTACTCAAAATACACAATCATGTCATCCCATGCTCTCTCTTTTTCCCTGTAATCATATTATATATCACATCAGCCCTGCTCATATCCCCGTAATCATTTACGCCTGTCTCACACAGTAGTCTCTGCATAGGGCTTCACATTCACTATCATTCTGGTACCCTGACACCCCTAACCCTTACCACTATCCCAGCAGTCCCAGTGAAGAACCTTTCAGTTACAACCACTCCAGCCAGACATTTAGCCTTTTTTCTTTCCAGCTTCTTCAAGCTTGGCTTCTTCCACCATCACTATGCAAGCAAAGGCAGGTGGCAGCTGGGACTCTGCCCAATGCATAGCACAGGCAGTATTTGTGCTTGCTGTTGGTATTCCATCCCATAGGTCATTCACTGTGTGACACAGTTCATAGGTGACACTTAAAATGTTCACATTCTCTTAGAGCATTTTAACAGTGAAAATAATTGTACCAGCTTATGAAATAAGGGAAACCTGGCTACCAAAATCATTCCTCTACATTTCCAAAACTGAGAAATACACGTTTTCTTAAACAAATGCAGGTGAAAAATCAGGAAAAAGTACCAAGAATGCAAAAGTCACAATGAAACATGAGGAATTGCCCCAGATAGGCTATTTGATGTGCAACGAGATGATGGGCTCAGCCTCTTACAGCATGATGTCCAAATAAAAGCCAACATAAAGCTGTATTAGCAAAGGAGACAGGAACTGACTGAGCATGAAGAACAAGTCAGCCACTCATCCCTTGGCCTGGGCCCATGGTGTTAGGCATGGTGAAGGGCAGGCAGCATGGAGAAGGATGTGCCCCCACTGCTGCTGCTGGCACTGCGCCCCTTCCAGGGATCTCAGAGAAGGAAGAAGTTTCACCTCAATTTATGTTTCTTTCTCCACTATACAAAAATCTGTGGACAGGCTGGAGAGGGTCCACAGAAGGGCCACAAAGATGAGCAAAGGACTGGGAAGCCTGCCTATGAGGAAAGGCTGGGAGAGCTGGGTTTGTTCAGCTGGGAGAAAAGAAGGTTCAGGGGAGACCTTACCACCATGTTTCAATATTTAAAGGCTGGCTATAAAGGTGGAGTCTCTCTTTCTACAAGGAGCTGCATGGAAACGAGGAGGGGTGATGGGCACAAGTTTCTCCTGGGGAGATTCCAACTGGACTCAAGGAAAATTTTTCACAATGAGAACAACCAGCCCCTGGAATAATATCCCCAGGGAAGCAGTGGATTCCCCAGCACTGGACGCTTTTTAAGATTCAGCTGGACAGGGGCTGGGACATCTAGTCTAGGTCATGCTTTCCCTAGAAGGGCTGGACCACGTGATCCTCAAAGTCCCTTCTAACCTGGTAGTCTGTGATTCTATGAGATTCTTTCAAATAGACAGCAGATGATTGCCAGACACAACCAGACTCCCTAGTTTCATTATACTACCCAAACCATTACCATGTGTAAAATAACCTGCCCTTTGGTATCTCTTCAGGTAATGGACCATGGTTAAAAAGAAAATGTATTTTATTTACAGACAACTGTATTATTCTAACTATTCATAGCATGCTCATCCTTTTAAAGATGAGAGACCTGAAAAAAAGAGGAATATATCTTAAAATCTTTTTATTCCTTGCACTCCTTATTCTCTGGGCCAGTTTTATTCTGAGACATTATGTTTCTCCCTCCCCCAAAGAAAGCCAAACCAAACCAAAAAACCCAACAAAACAAAGAGGAAATGAAAGACAAAGATTCCCAAGCAAAAACATTACTTAATCAAGCACTAAGGCTGTTGAGGGATAAGCCTCCAGTCCATGCTTCCAGCAGACAGGCTTATCCATACAACACCCTTTCAGTAAACACCCTGTGCTTGTCTATGATTTGAACAGGATTACTCAGGTAGTAAAGAGACGTTTACGCATTAAAATACACATATGTGCATTTAGACCAGGATATGCATATTAATCGCTTTAATACAGCCTCCTCTCGGAGGAGCGGCAGGTCAGGCTGCGAGTAGAAACACACCAGCCCGGCCCCCACCGCCTCCACCTGAAGAGTTTCTACGGGTGGCTTTCCCACTGCCCTCGACTGTCGGGACGAGCCCCTGAGCCTGCGAACTGCTGAAAGAGCAGGGGCATCACCGCAGCCACGCCTGGGACAGCGGGAAGGAGGGCAGGTGAGCGGGCGGGAGGCGGGGGCAGGAGAACAGGCATGCGGCCCGGGCCCGCCTCCCTCCGTCCCTCCTCCCGGACGTACCGGCGGCCCGGGGCAGCCGCCGTTTCCTCGCTGCTGCTTTCACGCCCGGGTTGTGTCGGAGAAGAGGCGGGCCCCGCAGGGCCCCTGCTCCGAGAGACCATGGCCCCCGGCAGCGGGCGGTGGCCGGTGTGCCTGCTGGTGGTCACCGGCGTGATGGCGGGGCCACCCCCGGGCCGGGAGTGCTCCGCAGAGAGGATGGAAAACACCATCATAGATATCAACCTCTCCTTGCCCAAAGGCGTCCGGGGAGCGGAGCCCATGTACGTCCCAGCCACCGAGGCTTGTGTCCGCGCCTGCTGCTCGGGGGTAAAGATCTCAGGTAACCCGTTTCTCCCTGGCCCTCTCTGTTGGG